GCTCTATGAATGTCTCTCTATGTCTCTCTGACTCTGAATCTCTCTGTGTCTCTGGCTCTATGAATCTTTTTCGATGTCTCTGACTCTCCGAATCTCTCTGTGTCTGTGGCTCTATGAATCCTCTGTTTGTCTCTTTGGCTCTGTGAATCCGTAATTCAGGCTCTCTGAATCTCTCTCTATGTCTCTATGATCTCTCTGTGTCTCTGGCTCTCTGAATCTCTGTCTCTGGCTCTCTGAATCTCTCTTGAGGGGCTCTAGAGACTTCCCTCTCTGTGTCTCTGTGATTCAGTCTCTCTCCCTCTTCCCTCTTCTGTGTCTGTGTCTCTGTTTCTCTCTGTCCCCTTCTCTGACCCACTCCATGTGTCTATCTGGCCCTGTGAGTCTCTCTCCATCTCTGAGGTCTCTCCCTCGCTCCCTGTGTATCTGTGATTCAGTCTCTCTCCGTCCTTTCTTTTCTATGCCTCTGTCCTCTGCCCTCTTCTCTGACCCACTCTTCGTGTCTCTCCCGCCCTGTGAATCTCTCTGCCTCTGAGGGCTCTCCCTCCCCCTGAGTGTCTCTGTGATTCAATCCCTGTCTGTCTCTCTCTAGATCTCGCTGGCTCCGGCATCCTCTCTGTGCGCCCCCTCTCAGGAAGGGGGTCTCTCCGAGGGCCGGCGCGGTCAGTCTCTTCCGGCTTCCCCACCTCTTGGTCGCTCTACCCGCGTCCCCGCCTCTCTCTGGTCTGGCTCTGCGCCTCCCCGGCTCGGGAGCGTTTCCCAGTCCCCGCTCCGGGGAGACCGGCTCTGTTGCCAGGGGCAACCACGGCCCGCCCCGGGCTGCGGGCGCAGTGCCTTCTGGGACTGGTAGTCCAAGTCTGCGGACCAGCCACTCTCGGGACGTGGCCGAGAACTCCGTCTCCCGGCGTGCCCCGCGAGGCTGGGCGGGACGCGGCGGCGGCGCCTGGGAGGGACTCTGGACGTCCAGCACACCTTCTCTGGGACTTTTTAGGGGTTCGGGGCGGGTTTCCTGGGATTCCCAAAGCCGAAGGGAAGGTGGGGGAATCCGAGTCCTCTCGTAACCACTCTCCCTAAATGTGGAGACCACTGACCTTCCAGCCACCTCCAGGTGACCTAGGGCGAAGGATAGGCAGCGGGGATGGCCCCTAAACTGACCTGGGAATCCCACCACGTTCTAGTCCAGTGCCCTTGGGTTCTTTCCCGAGTTAACCAACGTTATCACCCCAGAGTTCTATAGCTATTCTCTCGGGTGCTTTCCAGAAGGGATTCAGGCATGGGATGGGAGAGAAGGGTGGGCGAGGCGTCCTTTACGAAGACAGCGATGGGCCGGGCACGGTGGCTCACGCCTGTAATCCCAGCACTTTGGGAGGCTGAGGCGGGTGGATCATGAGGTCAGGAGATCGAGACCATCCTGGCTAACACGGTGAAACCCCGTCTCTACTAAAAATGCAAAAAATTAGCTGGGCGTGGCGGCGGGCGCCTGTAGTCCCAGCTACTCGGGAGGCTGAGGCAGGAGAATGGCGTGAACCCGGGAGGCGGAGCTTGCAGTGAGCCGAGATCGCGCCACTGCACTCCAATCCAGCCTGGGCGACAGAGCAAGACTCCGTCTCAAAAAAAAAAAAAAAAGAAGAAGAAGAAGAAGACAGCGATGGAGTGGGCTGGAGCTCAAAAGTGGACGCTGCAGAAATGAAAAGGAGGCCTTTCCTCACCCAACGAGAGTGTGTGCCCCAGCTGGCCCTTCCTTCTCCCCTTCCACGGGAACCCTTCCCTCCCTTTCGGTGTCTCTCCCCAGTTGCTTTTGCGGCTGTAGATGCAGATAGGGGGTTGTGCGATCATCGAATTTTCTTTAAAACTTTTTTGTTTGTTTGTTTTTAATAGAGACGAAGTCTTGTTGTGTTGCCCAGGCTGGTCTTGAACTCCTGGGCTTAAGCGATCCTCCCGCCTTATCCTCCCAGGGTTGGGACTACAAGCGTGAGCCTCCGCGGCGGCTGATCATGGAATTTTTTTTTTTTTTTTTCCAGATGGAGTCTCGCTCTGTCTCCCAGGCCGGAGTGCAGTGTGGCATGATCTCGGCTCATTACAACCTCCGCCTCCCAGGTTCAAGCGATTCTCCTGCCTCAGCCTCATGAGTAGCTGGAACTACAGGCACCTGCCACCACGCCTGGCTAATTTTTGTATTTTTAGTAAAGACGGGGTTTCACCATGTTGGCCAGGATGGTCTCGATCTCCTAACCTCGTGATCCACCCGCCTCGACCTCCCAAAGTGCTGGGATTACAGACGTGAGCCTCCCACCCGGCCTGATCCGGGAGTTTTGTAGGGTTTATATATATTTGTGTATTTGTGATTCTCCTGAGGACGGGGGAAAAATGTGTGGGCGGAGGATTACCTAGGTGCCCAGGCAAGAGACTGAAGGCACAAACTGTTTCAGTATAATAAAGAAAATAGTTAGAATAAGAATAGTCATAATACAAATTAGATATAGAGATAATCATGGACAATTACCAATCATTATTATAAATATTGTTAATCATTAGCTTTTAACATTACTCTTTGTTGCATTGCTAATATAACGTAGGAATAACCGGTGGGTAGAGGGTCAGGTGCTGAAGGGACATTGTGAGAAGTGACCTAGAAGGCAAGAGGTGAGCCTTCTGTCACGCCCACATAAGGGCCGCTTGAGGGCTGCTTGGTCAAGCGATACCGCTAGTGTCTGGGAAGGCACCTGTTACTTAGCAGACCACAAAAGGGAGTCTCCTTTCCTTGGAGGAGTCAGGGAACGCTCTGCTCCACCAGCTCCTTGTGGAAGGCTGGATATGATCCAGGCCTGCCCGCAGTCATCCGGAGGCCTAAACCCCTCCATGTGGTGCTGTGCTTCAATGGTCACGTTCCTTGTCCACGTTCATGTTCCTCCCATACTCCTGGTTCCTCTTTGAAGTCCGTAGCAGATAGCGGTAGAAGAAATAGTGAAAGTCTTAAAGTCTTTGCTCTTTCTTGTAAGTGCATAGAAGAAAACATTGACGTATGCTGCCTTCTCTCTCTGCTTCGGCTACCTAAAAGGGGAGGGCCCCCTATCCTGTAATCACATGACTTGCTTCACCTTGTGAACCACTTAGAAGGGTCACCCTCCTTACCCCGCCCCCTTGTCTTGTATGCAGTAAGTATCAGCGCGCCCAGCCGTTCGGGGCCACTACCGGTCTCCGCGTCTTGATGGTAGTGGTCCCCTGCGCCCAGCTGCTTCCTCTTTATCTCTTTGTCTAGTGCCTTCATTTATGACAATCTGTCATCTCCGCACACGGGGAGAAAACCCGCTAAGCCCCGTAGGGCTGGCCCCTACAGAAATGGACAAGATGGCCTTCTGTGGGGCAGAGATTGGTTGCAGTAGTTCATTTGATCTTTATGAAGGTCTTCTGTTGACCAGGTATATTCAGAGGCTTAGACTGGAGGGTAAGAAGGGAGCTGATAGTGGGAATGTAGGTGGGATCAGATCATGAAGGCCAGACCCAGGGGCTTTGATAGTGCCTATAGGCAATAGGGCATGGGCTACGGAACGACTTCAGCAGGGAAGGGCAGGATCAGATCTGCATGAGGGAGGAATCCCTCTGGATCCAGGGTGGGATGGTGGAGGACGAGGCTGGGGCAGTAGCTCAGGGGAAACAAAGTGGAACTTGAGCTGGGCCAGGAACCTGGAGAAGAGGGCGGTGGAAATGGTATTTAGGAGGAAGAAACAGACAGTGTTTGATGAGGGACTGACTGAGGAGAGGCGGGAAGGTACTACCATATGCTTGGGTTCTCAGCTCTGAGAGGCTATTACTGAAATGGGGAGCCTGGGAGGAAGAGGTGATTTGGGAGGAAAGCTCCTTCACTCAAATTGGGACATTGTATTTGTGAGGTGCTCAGGGGACGGACTCTGAGGAGGGTGAAGTCTAGTTCATTTCTATCCCACCCAGCCCTCCTGGTTTGAGGAAGTCATTTAGAAGACGCTGACTCAGCTAGTATCTTCTGATGAGGCCAAGGTTGTCTTGGCCCCCAACCCCATTCTCCCACTAGGCCCAAGAATCTGACCCTTGCCCTTCTCCGAGAGCCCTCCCCATTTTTTTTTTTTTTTTTT